CAATCTTGAAAGTGATATATAGTTTAAATAATATATAGCATTTTCGCAAAGTTTGGCATTGTTTACTTTGGTGTTTTCTGTCAATTGATGGTGATAAATGTTAGCTCATATTAGTTTAAAATTTACTTACAGGTCTAAATATTTTAATATACTATTTAGAAAAAAAAAATTATAAGATCAAAAAATTAACAAAAGTAAATACACCTTTAAACTATATCAATACTCAAAAAATTAAGAATTTATTTGACAATCAGCTTATGATATTTTTAACATCAACAGATTACTAAAAGAAATTAATTAACCTACTTCCGACAAGCAGCTATGAGAATTGAAGACAGATGAGACCGAGAATTTTCCGACCTGAACTTTTTCCCTACGCCTTGCATCTCAAGGCAATATTATTTGTAGGGCCCAAATTTTTTAAACATTCATCTAAGAGCAGTGCTAGGGGAACTCGCCTCTTGCACTCTCCGGCCGACACTTTCCCTTTTATTGGGCCACGTTATTTTGTTTACGAGAGGTTGCAGTTCAAGGCTAAAACAAGCTTTACGTGGCCCAATGAAAGGGGAAGTATTGGCAGGAGAGTGCAAGAGGCGAGTGCCCCTAGCACTGGTCTTCATCTAATGCAAACCGCGTCTTGATTATTTGCAAGGCCCATATTATTTAAAGCAAACCGCGTCTTGATTATTTGTAGGGCCCATATTATTTAAAGCAAACCGCGTCCTCACCCTACTTACCTCTCTTGACCTTTCAAATAATCAGTTTTCTGGTCCCATTCCAGCTTCCATAGGCAACTTAAGGCAACTTACCATCCTATACCTCTATTCTAACAATCTTAGCGGACAAATCCCATCTCACTTGTCAACCTCACCCGACTTACCTCTCTTACCCTTTCTAATAATCAGTTTTCTGGTCCCATTGCAGCTTCCATAGGTAACTTAAGGCAACTTACTAGCCTGCCCCTCTCTTCTAACAATTTTAACAAACAAATCCCATCATCACTTGCAAACCTCACCCAACTTCGCGATCTCTTCCTTTCTTATAACTTACTTAATGGCATGTTGCCACCTTGGATTTTCAACCTACCTTTCTTAGAGTAAGACGTATAAAGTTTGGCATTGTTTACTTTGGTGTTTTCTGTCAATTGATGGTGATAAATGTCTGATTTCTTCTTCTATGGCTAGGGCACCATTAGGTTCTCTCAAATTCCTCTCTGTTCTCTCTTTCTGATTCCTCTTTGCTTTCTATCTTTTCATTTTTCATCGGTGGCCAAGGGCCTTTAAAGGGAGAAAACTCAAAAAA